CAGACATGATAGATTGTACGATGCTCTTCTCGATCGGAACAGAACAAAGAATGAATGAATGAATAACCGGACGACGGAGCCACATTAGTAACCGCCCTGCGGACCTGCGCGGAGTCCTGGCCACCGCTACAACTAGCCAATGGTAACACGCCATCCGAACCCCGAGCAAGACAATGCCATGCGGAGAAGTTCCCGGCGACAAGACAAACATCGTCGGGAAAATAGTAATTACAAAATAAACAAAGCAAATGAGAAGGATTCGCCCGAGACACAGCTAGTCACCGAGCGATGATAATATCAAGAAGAACAAAGTACGCCCCCCCCCACACACACACAGACAGACAGACACACGCACAGAAAGATGTACATGTATATGTAAACACTGTTTTATAGTATGTTTAGCCAGGACAAGAACGCCGACCTACTATACGGCCAATCCATGCATATTGTTCTAAGGAACGTCGCAGGCGACATTTGTTCCAGAAGGCCTCCTTTATGCCTTGTTCGACAAGAAAGAACGCGTTCCGACTTTTATTACGTCAGAATAAACTTGACTTGTTTTTCTTTCTTTTCTGTTGTTGTTGTGCGTTGCAGTTCACGCTGCATGGACTAGCTTTGTAGCTAGCTGCGGTCACAGGTTAGTGGTGTGTACATGTGTATATTGTCGCAGTGTATATTGTGATTATATTGTGATTGAGCCAGCTCTTTTGTGGGGATGTGGGTGGCCTTGAAAAAGGCCGGGGTTATGTGTAGCAGCGGCGGTCGATCTACTTGGAGCTGGTGTACTTGGTGACGGCCTTGGTGCCCTCGCTGACGGCGTGCTTGGCCAGCTCGCCCGGCAGCAGGAGTCTGACGGCGGTCTGAATCTCGCGGCTACTGATGGTGGAGCGCTTGTTGTAGTGAGCCAGACGGGAAGCCTCGGCGGCGATGCGCTCGAAGATGTCGTTGACAAATGAGTTCATGATGCCCATGGCCTTGCTGGAGACGCCGGTGTCGGGGTGCACCTGCTTCAGCACTTTGTAGATGTAGGTCCCGGTTGGCCGAGTTCATCGCTTCTTGCGCAAGGGAAACTATGCCGAGCGCGTGGGTGCCGGCGCGCCGGTGTACCTGGCGGCGGTGCTGGAGTACCTGACGGCCGAGATTCTTGAGCTGGCTGGCAACGCTGCTCGCGACAACAAGAAGACCAGAATCATCCCCCGCCACCTTCAGCTGGCCGTCCGTAACGACGAGGAGTTGAACAAGCTGCTGTCCGGCGTCACCATTGCTCAGGGCGGCGTTCTCCCCAACATCCACGCCGTACTTCTTCCCAAGAAGACCAGCAAGGCTCAGTAATTTCCAGACGGAGACCCACATCCCGCAACCCCGGCCCTTTTCAGGGCCACCCACATCCTCTCGAAAGAACTGTACACTGCACTCACACTGCAAATAATACATTGCTAGTCCCCCCCCCCTCCTAACACACTACACTTGTTTAGACTAATAATACAATTCACTCACTTATAAAGATGACAGACACCGTCACACACGATGCGAATAAGCAAGGTCACTCGATCGGCAAATAGCACAAGAAACGGCTGCTATATCACTATATCTGTATAGTTGCGTCTCCTGCCTGCTGACATATATCTGTACATTATATGTGTAGGCGGAGGGGACGAGCACGTGTTACACGTCGTTGAGTTATAAAGATGACAGACAACGTCACACACGATGTGAAAAAGCAAGGCCACTCGGCAAATAGCACAAGAAACGGCTGCTATATCACTATATCTGTATAGTTGCGTCTCATGCCTGCTGACATATCTGTACATTATATGTGTACGTAGGCGGAGGGGACGAGCACGTGTTACACGTCGTTGTGTTATAAAGATACAGACAACGTCACACACGATGCGTTTTGCGAGTGTTATGCGAAAAAATTTAATCTCAGAAAATAATAGTGCTTCAATGAAAATACAGCTATATGTATTGTTATTCATCAGTATTGTTATAAAAAGAATACATTGTCAAGAAGATAACTGATAAGCCGAAGTGTGAGTAAANCTTGCGCAAGGGAAACTATGCCGAGCGCGTGGGTGCCCGGCGCGCCGGTGTACCTGGCGGCGGTGCTGGAGTACCTGACGGCCGAGATCCTTGAGCTGGCTGGCAACGCTGCTCGCGACAACAAGAAGACCAGAATCATCCCCCGTCACCTTCAGCTGGCCGTCCCGTAACGACGAGGAGTTGAACAAGCTGCTGTCCGGCGTCACCATTGCTCAGGGCGGCGTTCTCCCCAACATTCACGCCGTACTTCTCCCCAAGAAGACCAGCAAGGCTCAGTAATTTCAAGACGGAGGCCCACATCACCAAACCCCGGCCCTTTTCAGGGCCACCCACATCCTCTCGAAAGAACTGTATCTATCATCATCTACCCTCTACGATTGTTGTACAATAAAGTAATAAAACTGCAAACTATGATAGCGCACATGTACACCACACTTGTTTAGACTTATAACTTACACCATTTAGTCGCGGCATCGGGATATTTGCGTGTCGGGAAATTTGTGTGGCTCAAATGCGTTTACTACAAATGCGTTATGAAATACAGCGGATGTGATGTGAACTGCAGGCAACGCAGAGTAATAGCAGCCCCAGGCAGTATTAAACAGTATCCAGGCGCCAATGTACACCGACCCAACAAACATCGAAATCAAACTGATACAGTATAAAACCTTGTATCTTATTATTCATCCTACCATTCAACACGGTTACTAGTATCATCTTGCTGTTGTATGTGCACGTAATTATACCTACACCAAGTACTTCACCGCACTACTTTTTACCCGAACTACTTTTGACTACGGGGTTCGCCCATTAATACTGTGTTATGCGACCACAACTTCGAACCCGGAAGTATTGGTTCGTGGACGATTCCACTACTAGTCTTGTCCAGGGACAACATGCTAAACAAACCTGCTATCGTCAAGACAACACTAGTCCACAAAGACGTTCATTTCCCTAGATGAAATTTTCGTTGTTCTCTGTGTGTTTCATATTTATTTCGTTCCCCCTTCACGTATTTGTCCCCTCCCGAGTAGTGTTCTCTACCTAAGCACAAAGTAACCTTTGACCCAAATATAGCAGATGTGGGTAGAAAAGAGACTTGGGAGGATCGGAGCAGAAAGCTACAAGTTTGTACCATTGAATTTCTTGACTACATGTATGAGACTTCAATGCTTTGGCAGCATGGTTCGCCAAATTAGATGAATGGCTATGCTGAAAATCGTGAGCAAAAAAAGGTGATACTATATATTTTTCTATGCTAAAACTTGCTGATAGTATTAAATTTGACCAAGGAGGTTAAATACAAGTATTTAAACCTCCATGATTTGACTGAGACTAAGCCTGTCGATAATATTTTTGTCAAGTTATTTTTTCACGCTACATGTATTGACATAATATCCTCTGTCAACCCTAACCCTGTCGTGTTCAATGGTACAAAAATAGTAGAGCAAGTATAATTTACAATATGTGTAACTGTTATTTAAAATGTGAAAAAAAAATGCCAGAATTTATACCTGGTCCTCAAGATTACAAATTATGATGATGCACAATTGCAACCACCTCTACAAATAACCTCCTTGCTTTGATTTGAAGGCTATACAATTGTGCTGCCTGTCAATAATATTTGTTTCCACTATTGACAGGGGGACAGATCAGCAATAGCCACATCCAAACTTGTTTCCTGAACCATGCCTCGGACAAAGCAAACAGTGAAGGGCAGGAGACCTCAGACAGATCTAGAGGAGACCCCAGAGGCTGGTAAGGAGTGTCCTGCTCTTGCTGGGGCTCAACTACAGAACTACAGTCCCACACAGGCAGCAGATGTAGAAGTGAAGATACACAGTGAGAGACGACATACACCTACTGGTGATGCAGCCTCGAGGATTGATGAAGCTGTGAAACTCAATGTAAATGAAACAGTTACTGAGGAATGCTGTGTGTCAGCAGGGACTGGTACAGTGAAGAAACGTAAACTGGAGGAGACATCAGAAGCTGTTAAGAAGAGCCGTGCGTCTGTGGAGGTCACCGATGTCACACAGGTTGTTACTTTATTATAAGTAAACGTTTCCATGATTCATTTTCCTTGGGTCTGAGTGACAGACAGAAAAATGGGGGTGAGCTTTTTTACTGGAATACACCGGAATGGGTGAAATCTACCAGAATGCACAGTGACTATGCCTTGTGGAGTTAACATCCCAGGTTGATGCATTTTGGCGTATATATTAGATTTGATTTCGATTTGAGTTATCGAAATTACAACAGTGCAATACACATGGGACATAGGCAGTTGTTGCTGATGTTCTGTCCCACACATAAAAACTAATACAGGACAGACAATACTCATTTTGACTTGAGTAAATAAGGATCTTGTAAAGTGCCTTTCCCAAGAGCACACACAAAATGGGAGGCATGTCAGGACTCGAACCCGGGACCTCTTGGTTCCGAGTCAAGCATGCTGCCATTGTGCCACACGACTCCTCTCAATGACCCTAATACATTTTGTACATACATTTATATCATAATCGGGCCGCGATAACGTTCAATAACGGGTTCCGGACCGGGCCGTACTTTACGGTATGGCCTGGGCTTCCCTGGCTTCCATATATCGATTCAAACGCGTTTTGCCCTAACCGCGTGTGCCCCTTTTGAAAATTCGAATACGTTAGAATTGATGTTGTTGCATTTTAGGGTTTAGTGGCACCAACTTTTGGCTCATCTTGCATTGAAATGCGCGTTTTCTTGGGTGGGTATGATATAAATAAAATACAACACGGGGTATTCCGCATCACCCTCGGTCCCGGCCCTCCCACGGTCCCGGCCCTCCTGCGGCTGTCGGGCGACCCGCGGTTGGGCCGATACCTCGCGCGATACGGAATACCCCGTGTTGTATTCTATACATGTATTTATATACATGTACAGTAATAATATTGTACGGTTGTTAGTGGCGAATGTGCAGATCTTGGCACATTGGCCACACCAAATCAGTCTATGTCCTCATCAGTGTTTGGACACAGTATTAAAAATTAGCCAAAAGGCCTGGTGGGTGTCCCTCTATGGTACAGGGAGGAAAGTCATGTTACTTGCCTATCCCATACATGTATATGACCCTGGGAACAAGAAATTACTGGAAATTACTACTCCATGTACCAAGACTTGCTACTGCTGACCATACTTCAATATGAAAAACAAAAATAATTCAGTATGTTCTGTTTGCTCCTTCTTCCCAGCCTGAGTCCCAGACAGACAGACCGTTGGCTGAACCTGAGGACTCACAGTCACAACAGGCTGGTCAAAAGGAGACTGAGAATGCCCTCAAGGTAAGAGCATGCCTTGCATTACTTGTTTGTTTGTTTCGCATAACCAGTAAACCAGTTTTGTACATGTACGCACATGTACAAGCTGCGTAAGACCGGACTGTAAGGTTTGAACCACTCACACCGGGAAGGTCCCCTACTCTTTTCGATAAGTGCATTGGGTTCTTTAATGTGCATGGGGTATGGCTCTCCCCAAACATGGGACCTCCATTTAACGTCCTATCCGAGGGACATTACTTGTTTGTCATTCAATTTTACAATTTGTATATTTATCCATTCTCTATTATTAAAAGTAAGGGACAAGCTTAAGCATTCTTCAACCTAGACTGTCAGAATGGCCTGCATCTACCTTTACTAAGTCTTACTGTACTTAGACATAGGAGTTTCCTTGTCTTCTGACACTTGTGACAAACCGTCATAATGTTCCAGCAAGTTCATTCAATGTCCAGTCCACATCCTTCCACTCTTCTAGTTGAAATTTACTGTTTGCAGGTCCCTGGATTGTTTGTAGTTCATCCAGCAGGGCCAACCTGACCTATGCTTAATTTTTTGGGTGCAGTTTAAGAGTACTACATGTATTATTTACAAGCTAAATGACTGATGGAAGCCTTGTAACATGGTCTACATGACCTAGCCTTTCTCAGCTCTGCATGTGAAGAAAAGTCTTTTTGTTA